ATTCGGAATGAAAGGTTATTTGTAACTGTTTTGCACATGATTTGATAAAAAGATAATTTTACTATTACCTGTACAATTAGTCTTTTTTTCACCAAGAGCTAATTTCTTTTTATGTATTTGTGCCACTTAAGTTATTCCCTTAACCACCTTTCCAAGTCGTCTTTCTGTCAAGGACATTGGTGGGGGTATGAATCGCATTCAGCGATAGTTTTAGTTTTTTATTTCGATATTGATTCCAGAAATTAAATTGCACAGAACAATTGATATCCAATTAAATTCTGAGTATATTTATTTATTATCCATTGCAGAGTTTTCCATTTTAAGTTCTTCAATTGATTAATGTAAGAATTTCAAATTCATGTTTTTAGGCATTTTGTGACCTTCTGTGAGCTTCTTTAATATTGTTATTATACACCATACATGTGAACTTTCCCACTTTAATAGGGAGACTCCCACTTTCTGAAGCCATATTTTCAAAGATTTATCTTAAAATAAGAGGTATTTTCAAAAATTAAAGAATCTCCCTATTTCTAATGTCAGAATTTCCTTTCTTTAATGTAAATTCTAAAATTTCCCTCTTTTTGAAGAAAAATCTCCCACTTGATCATCAAAAAAAGTTCACATGTATGATACACAAGTTTGTTGGTGACTCTAATTTGCAGCATTATCATTTAGGTTAATAATCATAATCGTTTAATGTATGTTTTGAAATGAAAAACGTTACATGAACAATGAAAACAAGCAAAGAGAAATTACTCTATTGTAAGACTACAAAAAATCTCACAAGAGTTGCATATATTTTCCCCTACAGTAATTCATAGGCTCAATTTTAGTCCTTACCAGTTTTTACTTCTCATTGATTCATCATCAAATGCCCATGCACAGTAAGATAGGGCTGTCATTAAAAGAAAACTTTGTATGGATATATCAAGAGCTGTATCGAGGTGATATCGATTAATTATAATGGAATTCAATAGCTTGTACATTTGAATTTGTATAACAAATTGTTAACTTGGTGTATGCACACCGCAAACACAGAATACTAAAAGAAAGACCTCTCAAAATTAAATCCAGTGTTCAAACTAGGCAAGAAAAAGGAGGAAAAGTGACTTTTTCCCTTAAAACAAAGTACATTTGTAGATTGATATTTTTACATCACATGAAGAAATTGGATTTGAATTTTATTGATACTCTTAATTGTTGAATATCCATGATATATTGAATAACTGTATTTTGAATGACAGCCTTACAATAAGAATTGAGCTTTTAAAAGACTGAAATAATTTATTAAGGTTAGAATCAGAAGCTTAAATATATTTATATTTTTCAGTGTTATCTGGAAGTTGAAAAAGAGTCAAAAGAGTTTCATGAAGATTTAGCGCTACAGTTTGAAGCGAAAAATATTGAACAAGACAAAAAGATCAAGGAATTAGAGCATCAGATTCAGGTACATAAATAAAACAAGGGACTGTGTCAGATCCTTACTGTAAATGTAATTCTTAGATACAATTTTGAATAACTTAATGGAAGCATTTAATATTATAATTTGATTGGATGTTCACAAGACCCTAGTCTATATCTTTAAAAACTTTGTTAGTGAACCTTTACCAACTTTGGTTAAAATAACGCTGGGGATCAATTGGCCTGCCCCATGGTCCCTTTATTATATGAGTTGTATAGGAAAAAAAACTTCAAAAATCTTCTTGCTGCAAAAGTATTAACGCATAGAGAAATGATATTTGATGTGCTAAGTTCAATTGAGTATGGTTAAGTGTCAATATTGGCCCCACCCTGATGTCTCTTTGTACCAGGTTTGTAGCTTCTAGATCATTGTCTCACTGAGTGGTCAAACATGTCTTTTAGATGATAATAGGAGGTCACTGTTGAAGATCCATAAGTCAGCATGGATTTTGATTGAGTTAGGCCCTTTTTTAACCAAAACTCATAACTATGCACGCTCTTGTTATGATGGCATTACTCAAACAACACAGTATATTTGCTTAGGAATGCAATTAGCTGGAATGCACACAGTAATTTGAGCCGTGTCATGACAAAACCAACATAGTGGTTTTGCGACCAGCATGGATCCAGACCAGCCTGCGCATCCGCCCATGATCAGGATCCATGCTGTTTGCTTACAAACCCTATTACAAGTAGAGACACTAATAGCGAACAGCATGGATCCTGATCAGACTGCACGGATGCGCAGGCTGGTCTGGATCCATGCTGGTCGCAAAACCACTATGTTGGTTTTGTCGTGACACTGCTCAATTTTGTTGCTGCACAAGTCTTGCTATGTGATGGTTTTTGCTTGCTTACAGAGTGCAGAACAAGTTATAATGGAGGAGAAGGATTTAAGAGAATCACTGGTTAACCAGCTCAGTTATGAGGGCAGGGAAAAAGTATGCAATATTTATACTTATCTGTGCTTGCTATTCTTGTTTGATATTTGTGTATATGACATTGGAGTGGTTCTATGTACTGAACTTTTGATAAGTCAATTTTCTGGCTTTGTTAAAGTAAAATGAAAGTACTGGTAGATCTTCCTATATATTCTGAATAATTTTTTATAGGAGTCTGTTTTAAAAGGCAAATAGTTCAATGTGTCAAAGTTTTAATGAGACCTATTTATATTAAAGAACAGATACCAGATATAAGTAAGTCAAAGCCCTTTAGCTTTTTTGAAAACGTAAGTACCTTAAACATAGATTCACTGAAGTTTGGCTGTAATTGCTTTGTTTATTTGGTGGTTTGATGCACAAAAAAATTTAGTTTTTGTTAAGAGCCAGTTAACAGAGTTTCAGTCATGTATTGGCATGCAGTTACTTAATGACTATTTGTTGATACTGTACCTAAAATTTCCCCATATTTCTGTAACCACAGACTGCTCTTAATATACATGTATCACTTGAGATTTATAATTGGTGGATAAATGATACTGTCATGGAAAGTGTGAAGTCTAAAGTACTCATTATTTGCAAATACGAGGTCTGTTGTACTTCATAGCTTTCTTGAAATAGGTTAGTAGGTATGCAGATGTATCAATTGTACTTCAAGAGAAAAAAGAATAAGTACAATGCTTTCAATTTTTTCTTGGATTATAATTTGTTTTATAATTGAGCTGCGCCATGACAAAACCAACATATTGGGTTTGCAACCAGCATGAATCCAGACCAGCCTGCGCGTCCGCGCAGTCTGATCAGGATCCATGCTGTTCGCTATCAGTTTCTCTACTTGTTATAGGGTTTGCAAGCAAACAGCATGGATCCTGATCAAACTGCGCGAATGCGCAGGCTGGTCTGGATCCATGCTGGTTGAAAACGCACTATGTTGGTTTTGTCGTGACGCAGCTCAATTATTATTATATTTACATAGTTGAAATTAGGAATGGAGAAAGATGTTTGGATTTTTTCCAGCACTTGAATTTTGTAATAAGAGATTTTTGGCTATTTTGGTTTTGTAAATTAATTGTATATTTTGGTTTCTTGTTGACCTTTTGTGAAATTTACTCCTAAAACATCATTGATTTTACTATTCACAAATGCAAAATAAACTGTTGTAAAAAGTTTGATGGTCTATCAAAATAAAGTATGGCCTTCTGAAGAGCTCTTTTTAACAATATCGTTTCTTCCTAAGATTCTTTATGAAATCAAGTGCAACCCAACTACAGTATAACTTCGGAAACTGGAGCAACACCTTTGGGGAGACATTTTTTTTTTTCTCAACAAAGGTTATATATATAGTGGAAATTATTAATTTTTGGGAAGAAATAAAATTGTTGTTGTAAGGTGTTGCTGTACAGAGGTGAAATATAAAGGAAATATTTTAGTCATTAAGTGCAAAACTGGAATAAAACTGCTTTTCAAGAAAAGTCCTAAGCGCAATTTTAAGACTTAAGCTATGACTATTCCTGTGGGTGCCTCAGAGCTCTTAAGGTGTCTTAAGTCATAAGTACAAAAACAAGTGCTGAAACAAACATGGCAGCTCTTTTTTTTGTTTGATATAGAATTATATATGTAAAATGTGGAGGGCATTAGTGAAGAAAAAGTTATTAGTAGATCTACCTGTCATATTTAATAATTTTTTTTCAATTTACATATATGTTTGACTTCTTATAGGATCGTGAAATGTTGCATCAGTTAGATGAGAATAAACTACTCATGATGGAATACAATTCGTTGAAGAACATGCTTGAGGCCCATGAAGACTCTGTCGATAAATTGAGAAAGGCTCTTGAAGAAAAAGACGCCTGTATAGTGAATCATGAGAAAAATATAAAGGCATTGGAGGTACTATTTGTTATAATAGACAAGTCTTGTCCCTTGTTGATACCATTTTGATGTTAAGTTTTAAGTAAATTAGGGCTGTAGTGTAACCTAAGGTCGTCTGTTCTGAAAAATTTATTGTAATTTTTAGCTCGACTTTTCTATGAAAAGGGGAGCTATCCTACTCGCCCCGGCGTCGGCGTTGGCGTCACACCTTGGTTAAGTTTTTCGTACCACCCCACTTTATTTCAGAAGTATTACAAGTATGGCTTTGAAACTTACCATACTTGTTCACCATCATAACCTCCATCTACAGACAAGAGTACATAACTCTGTCAAGGTTTTTGACAGAATTATGGCCCTTTTTTGACTTAGAAAGTGTATTGAGCTTGGTTTAAGTTTTTTGTACCACCTCACTTTATTTCAAAACGCATTGGAGGTATTGCTTTGAAACTGACCATACTTGTTTACCATCACGACCTTCATCAACAGACAGAGGACATAACTCTGTCAAGGTTTTTGAAGAATTATGCCCCTTTTTGACTTAGAAAATACATTGAATATGGGTAAAATCCACTTATTGCCTTAACCCTTTGAGATATTGCTTTGAAACTTTTAATGCTATTTCACATCATTACCCCATCTGTACGCAAGAGAAGGTAACTCTGTCAAGGATTTGTTTTAAAAATTAAGGCCTTTTATCGACTTAGAATCTTGGTTAAGTTTTTTAGTACCAGTCCACTTTTTGACTGAACTGTTTGAGATATTAATTTGAAAGTTGGAATACTTGTTTACAATCATGATTCCCAAACATGTCCAGGAGAAGGTAATTCTGTCAAAGATTTTATTTGAATTATGGCCCTTAACTGTCAATGTTTTGTATTATAGGCAAGCACTAAAAAAGTCGAGCGCGCTGTCTTACGGACAGCTCTTGTTTTATTATTATCTAAGAAGTTCATATTATCCTAAGGTTAAAGGGGCTTAAAAGAAGGTTTTTAAATGACAATACTGGAACTACTTTTTGGAGAGTAATGTAAACATTTGTTGTAAGACAAGACCAGGACCTTGCATATCTTTGGCTGAATCGTTCTACTAGAACTATCATTTGAATTGTGCAAAGTGACCAAAAAATGAAAAATATTTTCTGTAAGTAAAGGCCACTTTTTCCTAACACTTCATTGATTGAATATAACATGGTATCCTCCACTTAAAGACCACTTGTATATAAAGGCCATGTTCAGTCTGTCCCTTGGATGGCCTTTGTTAACATGTTCTACTGTATATGAATTTCAGGACAAAGTTCTTCACTATTACAAGACCATGGAAGATCAGAATGATAAAATATCGGAATTAAAAGAAAACTTGCAGAATGTTGAAGAACAGATAGTATTTTACATGGAGAAAGAAACAGTTACCAATGAGAAGATAGAAAACTTGGAAGAACAAATCAAAGCAAAAGAGGAGGAGATTGAAACAGAGAGGAAAAATCATACATTTAAGGTAATATTTAACCCTTTCACTGCCATATGGACGGCTTTAGCCGTTTCTATAATAATAGTAGTAATAATAATAAATCAATTATAATAATAATAAAAATAATAATAAATATAAAGAAAATTATACCATCGACAATAATTATTATTTTACTCACAGATTAGGAAACATACATAATCATATTAAGTAATAATATAGTAATTTCTTAGAAAACCCTCTGGCAAATAGGTAATCAATAAAACAATAACCCTCTGGCAGCGAAAGGGTTAAGTAAGGCCCTTTTTGAACTCAGAAAATTCTATATTATCCGGGATCAAGTACTGAGAATAGTCCAGCACACTGTCCTCCTGATAGGTCATGTTCATTTTTGCTTTAATGGCAGTTTTTGCGAATAAGCCAATTAATAAACCTGTGATTTATTTTTTTCCTATGTATGTAAGAAACCAAAACAATGTAGTAAAAGAGTTTACTCTTAAATGCTCTTAATTTCTATACAAGATTTTTTTCACATTCTCTTGGCAATCTTTGACATATATATATATATGGTATTATTTTAACATTCACTTGGCAATCTTTGACATAAATATATGGTATAATTTTAACATTCACTTGGCAATCTTTGACATATATATATGGTATTATTTTAACATTCACTTGGCAATCTTTATAAATATATGGTATTATTTTAACATTCACTTGGCAATCTTTGACATATATATATGGTATTATTTTAACATACACTTGGCAATCTTTGGCATAAACATATGGTTCTATTTTAACATTCACTCAGAAATCTTTGACATAAATGTATGGTTTAATTTTAACATTTACTCAGAAATCTTTGACATAAACATATGGCATTATTTTAACATTAACTTGGCAATCTTTAACATGATATTTTTTATCTATATACAGGTTGAGATGTTGAACGAGGACTTAAAATCTTACCAGGAGAACATTGATGAACTACAACTAGAGTACGAGCGTAGTCAACAGCAACTGAACGTCAGTGAAACCAACGTCAAAAACCTGGAAACTAAAATAAACACACTAACTGAAACGGTGGGTGTATAAATACAATTTTAATACATTTTTGTGGGTGTATAAATACAAGTTAAATATGTTTTTATGGGTGTATACAGAGTTGAGTTATTGCATTACCAGAAACTTGCAATTACCAATGCCGTCTATAATAAAGCGCAAATGCAATTTAAATATGTTTTTAACCAGGTTTTCAACGAAAACCGGGTTATTGTAATGCCGAAGTCGGCGGGCGGGCGTCAACTTTTGGTTTCCGCTCAATAACTTTAGTTTGCTTTGGCCTATTGACACAAAACTTGGTGTGTAGGTAGCTTATATCAAGAGGCAGCTTGGGATTGCTACCCAGGTGTCTGTGATCAAGGTCAAGGTCACTGTAACTAAAAATAGAAATTCAGTTTCCGCTCAATAACTTGAGTTTGCTTTGGCCTTTTCACACCAAACTTGGTGTATGGATAGCTTATATCAAGAGGCAGCTTGGGATTGCTACCCAGGTGTCTGTGATCAAGGTCAAGGTCACTGTTACTAAAAATAGAAATTCAGTTTCCGCTCAATAACTTGAGTTTGCTTTGGCGTATTGACTCCAAACTTGGTGTATGGATAGCTTATATCAAGAGGCAGCTTTGGATTGCTACCCAGGTGTCTGTGATCTAGGTCAAGGTCACTGTTACTAAAAATAGAAATTCAGTTTCCGCTCAATAACTTGAGTTTGCTTTGGCCTATTGACACCAAACTTGGTGTATGGATAGCTTATATCAAGAAGCAGCTTGGGATTGCTACCCAGGTGTCTGTGATCAAGGTCAAGGTCACTGTTACTAAAAATAGAAATTCAGTTTCCACTCAATAACTTGAGTTTGCTTTGGCGTATTGACTCCAAAACTTGGTGTATGGATAGCTTATATCAAGAAGCAGCTTGGGATTGCTACCCAGGTGTCTTGTGATCTAGGTCAAGGTCACTGTTACTAAAAATAGAAATTCAGTTTTCTGCTCAATAACTTGAGTTTGCTTTGGCCTATTGACGCCAAACTTGATGAATGGGTAGCTTATATCAAAGAGGCAGCTTAGGATTGCTACCCAGGTGTCTGTGATCAAGGTTAATGCATTTAGTTTTCATGTTATAACTTGAGTTTGCTTTGACCTTTTGTCACCGAACTTGCTGAGTGGCAGCTTTGGATTGCCCAACTTAGATATCTGGGAGCAAGGTCAAGGTAATTTGCTTACAATAGAATATTCAGTATCTACTCAATAACTTCAGTGCACTTTGACCTATTGATTGCTGTCACATCAAAACTTGGTCGTTGAAAACCTGGTTTTCGTCGCATTGCGGCGCTTCTTGTTTATACCTTAGACCCTTTATTTATTTGTCTTCATTGTCCTGAAGGGAGCATTTTTTTTCCCAGAATTATCAATTTTCAAAAGGGTAGTGCATACCTGTAAATAGAAAGTTTTAAATAAAGAATTTAACTTGTCAGACAATGTCATGTGTTCCTCCCATACAAGTTTCTGTTGTTAATTTACATAAGGTCTTTAATGGATCCCTATAATGTTGGAAGCTTTCCAAGAGTAAATCAATAGATCAATTAAAAAAGTGTTATTTGCTTTTTTTACATGGGAATTAAGCTTAGGTATGGAAATTTTGAGAGTTAAATCAGTGTAAAAAAAATTTTTGTTTGTAAAAAAATCTTTTCTGTGGATTACATATTTTGAAGTGAATCTTTAAAATACTGAGAGAAAAAATTTGACACATGGATATTTTGTATGTTATGTAGTTAACACCTTAATTGTTTTTGTTTCATAGCTGAAGTCAAAGGAAGAAGCAACTGAAAAGTTGAGTAGCAAGTCAATGGAACTTGAAGAATTAACACAACAGCTCAGTCTACTGGAAAGTGCTCGACAACAAAGAACCATTGAGAACATTGAAATATCCAATGAAAACAAAGAGCTTAAGGTGAGAACTGAATCTTGAAGTTAAGGGATTGACATAAATTTTCAGAGCCACTTGTCCTGCAGGACTCGTCCTGCCTTGATCTCTACTTGTAAATACGAGCCGACAAATCGAATTTTCGATCACTGTACGGCATGTTGTATTTGTATAAGAACAGGTCATTTTACATCTGTCAGTTGCCTCTTTTGCTGAGTGATTTAAGATCACATGACTTAACCTTTGCGCTGCTTGAACCAAAAGCATTTAGCCTTTGTCACCAGTATAGGGCCAAGCCAGATTGCACATGCAGTCTGACTAGACTCTACTGTTGGCTGGCTAACTTCAATTCTCCATCTTGATATCCCTAAAATTGCTAATGAACTGTTCCAAAAAATGGAAGCTCAGAAATTCAGCAGCCCATTTGAATACTCTTGGGGTTTCAATATAAATATGGATCTACACTCGTGGCACTGGCTTATCATATTTGCTTCCAGCATGTTAAAGGTTAAGATACTTGACTGTTCTATATGTTAACTTAAGGAGATTTAAAAGTTAGCTATAATGATGTTGTTTGGCTAGTCTAAAATATCACAATTCATTGTAACAAATATTTGAATGTGTTTCTTCAACTTCATTGGTAGACTTTTAATTTCATTGTGTAATTTTTGTAAGTGAGTTTTCCTTCTTACATATTGAATTTACATTCATTTTTTATGAAATTATGAAATTTGATCAAACATTGTTTTAATGACAGGTTAAAATTGAGGAAATAGAAAAACAGAACAATGCAACATGTACGGAATTGGAATTCTTGAAAACCGAGTACCAGTCTATGAAGGAAAAGTAAGCTTTTTTTTTTGTCACCACGATAATATATGTATACACATATAATGGCTCAAACATTTTAGATTTGTAAAGGAAAAATACATGTGATGGGGTAAAAACCCAACTTTGCAAGGGATTTAGTTTATTTGTATTTGTTTTAGTTTGATTGTGTTTGAAGCTATAAGCTTACTGAAACACTCTTGAAAAGGTTCCTGGAACCAACCTGAACTAAGCAAAGGTTGTAAAGTTTCTTGCTTAGGGAAACAACGGCTTGCCCATGACGAGGTTTGAACCCCTAACAGCCAGCAATCCTTGGATTTCTAGTCTGATGTGTTAATCACTCAGCCATCGATGACTTCTACTCCAGTTACCTCTCTGGCGTCCCCGGGAGATGCTTTGGTAGTTTAGCGCGGAGGAAGGTAGTCTAGTACTGGTGTAACTCTCCAGGAACGATGGTTAGGAAACTACCCGCCTATATGAATATATACTGAAATACTGTTGGAAAAAGGCGTAAAATGAAACACACACACACAAGCCATGCCGTCACTCTGCACATGCAAGGCCATGGGTCTGCAGACTTATGTGACACATTTATCAGAGATTTATTCATTTTTAATCAGTGTAAGAGCTGTTGTATGAAACAAAATACACACAAATACGATTGTGTTCAAGAATCAGAATAATCATCAGAATCATAATTGTTAATACTTTGTCTTTCTTAGTGTGTAGTCTATATTGATAATCACTTATCTAGAATATGCTACATTTAAAATAACTGCCTTGATCTTCAAGAAAGATGTTGCAGAAATAATTGTTGTGCAATTTATGTTCATCACAGAACAGAGACACAGACCAGTGAGATATCTGAGTTGTTGAGGAGATGTAGCAGTGCTGAGTTGAGAGCTGCTAATGTAGAGGCCGACCGAAACCAGGCTCAATCTAGGTAACTTAAATCTTTAGTTATATGATGGATGTTGCATGAGTAAAACTTTGTTGGATGGGGCGTCTGTGGCCGAGATTTTTTAATTTCAAACTTCTTGCCCCTAAATTTGCGGGGGGTTTTAAATCCCAACCAAAAATTTTGGTTTTTTTCATATGAGGAAGCATTCAGCTAGCTTTTTTGGGGTATTTTTTGGGTTTCTCCCAGGTGCCCGTTTGTCCCTGAAATAAGGCTTTGATGGGGGACCAAGGGGCCCTCCCACCTTTAAAGCTGGAAAAGATGAAAATAAAGGGTTTTGGGAAAAATTTTATTTACATTTTTAATTTCTACCCATAAGTCTGTATAATTCAGAGACAGCCCTATCGGTATATATTTGAGAGCATTTAGTCCTAGGACTTGAGTTCTTGTTAGTTTTTAGTCTAGGATGAGATATGATTTTCCTCACAGGATTTGATTATGAATATTATATATTATGAATTTTTTTCTTTCTCTACTGATTCAAAATTTGGGATAACATGAAGGAAAATAGGCTGTTACTGTAACACAATCCAAGAAACATTTGAAGAAGGATTAAAGTTATCAGGATAATGTATGTTATATACGAGGGGTGTCCCAGAATTACGTGGACTTTTGCTGTAACTAAAAAACTACTGAAAATAAAAACAAATAAAATTAACATGAACAAAATGCAACTTTATTGCATGAGTACAAAAAAATTCAAAGTTGTCCGGCAACTGGATCAGTGTCTGTGGGCAGGGTAATGAGACAAGGGGTAGCGGGTGCTGGGGCAGTCCATTCAACGTTTCGACGTCATTCTGGTGGCGCTCGCTAGTTTTTAATAAATGCATAGATCAATGTCAGTTTTTCTCAAACAATAATCGTTCCGCCGCCTAACTCAATACACCTATGGTGTCGATATATACCGGCCTGTATAATAATAATAAAGCATACTATTAACTTTTTTGTTAGCGATAATAGTGTTAAAGATGACGGTGATAATGCTGACGCCGTAAATATATATTATTATCATTATTATTATTTTTATTATTATTGTTATTATTATTATTAATGTGGAGTTTATTTTTGTACGCAAAGACAAATGTGTGCTAACAAGGGAAATAATTATCATGCCCACTGCTTACTATAGCAGTTTTTGAGTTCACTTTTCTTAAAAAGCTGAAGCGGATAAATTTCGTTTAAAAATAAAAAAAATTTGTGATAGCTTATTTTTAAAAAAAATCATTTTTTTATGCCACCCAGCAATCTGCGATGCGGTGGCATATAAGCGATTCACCTGTGTGATGTAATTGTGGTGTGTTTGTGTTGTGTTATATAGAGTTTATATAGTGAAACTTAAAAAAAAACCTTCCTTGTGAAAAACCGCTAGTCAATTTCAACAAACTTGGCAGGATTGTTTCCTTGGGTGGAAGGGCTTCCAAAGTTGTTTCAAAGAATTTCATTCCATGCAGAAATCTGGTTGCCATGGCAACAAAAAGGAATTATAAGGATAATTTTTAAAAAATCTTCTTGTAAAGACCCAAAAGGCCTAGAGCTTAGATATTTTTGCATAAGCATTGTCTGGTAGATAGCCTCTAACAAGATTGTTCAAAAATTAAACCCTGGGGTCAAAATTGGCCCCGACCCCGGGGGTCATTGATTTTTACACTATGTACATATAGTAAAAACTTAAAATACCTTCTTGTAAAAACACAAAAGGCTTAGAGCTTTAGATATTTTGCATAAGGCATCACTGGTAGACCTTACCAAGATTGTTTCAAATTATAGCCGCTTGGGTCAAAATTAGGCCCCCCCCCCCCCCTGGATCATTGATTTTCCCTATATGTACATACAGTAAAAATTAAAACACCTCTTCTTGTAAAAGACCAAAAGGCTTAGAGCTTAGATTATTTTTCATAAGGCATCTGTCTGGTAGACCTCTACCCAGATTGGTTTCAAATTAAAGCCGCTGGGTCAAAATCGGGCCCGCCCCAGGGGTCATTGGTTTCCTTATATATATATATATAGTAAAAAATTAAAAAAAAATTCTTCTACGAAATTGAGCAAATGCTAAAAGGTTAGATATTTTGCATGAAACATTGTGTTTGTAAAAAACTCTAGCAAGATTGTTCAATTATAGCCCTGGGGTCAAAATTGTCCCCCGCCCTGGGGTCATTGATTTTCGCTATATGTACATTATACGTAAAAACTTAAAAACATCCTTTTCGGGTAAAGACTTAAAAGGCTTAGCAGCTTAGATATTTTGGCGTATAAGGCATTGTCTGGTAGACCTCTACCCAGATTTGTTAAAATTATGGCCCTGGGGTCAAAAATTTGGCCCCGCAGGGGTCATTGGTTTTCCTTATATGTATAAAGTAAAAACTTTAAAAATTATTCTTCTAGGGCAATTGACAAATGCTAAAGGTTAAGATATTTTGCATGAAAACATTGTGTTGTAAAACTCTACAAGATTGTTTCAAAATATAGCCCTGGGGTCAATTTTTGTCCCAGCCCTGGGGGGTCATTGATTTCAATAATAATTATCATAGTATAGTTAAAAAAATAAAAAATCTTATTGTCTGAAGGTTTTCAAGGCTTAGAGTCTTTAATATTTGTTAAAAATATATATCAATTAACCAAAGTTGTTCAATTTTTGCCTCTTGTGTCAAATTAGCCCCGCACACCTGAGTGGAGCATAACGGTTTTTATCCTATAACTATGTATATAGTTTAAAACTTAAAAAAAATCATCTTCTCTAAATTTAACAAAGGATAAAGTTAAGATATTTTGCATGAAAACATTGTGTAGTGAACGCTCTAGCAAGATTGTTCAAATAAATTAGGCCCTTGGATGTCAAAAATTGTTCGCCCGTCCGGGGGTCTTTGTATATTTCATTAATGTATTCTATTTATAGTAAACAAAAGATTTTTTTGTACTGAAAGGTCAAAGGCATAGAGCCTTTGATGTGATGAATTAGTTTAATATCACTCACTATAGTCCTCTACGCACGTTGTTCAAATGTCAAAAATTGGCCCTTGCGCGGGGCAGTGATTCTTCATTAATGCACACGTAGTAAAAACAGAAAATTAAAACAGAGATGTTTTCTGAATGGGAGAAGCTATAGCTTAGATATTTGACTTGAAATGTTGTTTGGTTGGACATGTATCAAGGATTGGATTATTTTTAAAACTTTATTGGGTCAAAAACTTATGCCTTGCCCAGTATGGAGTACAGTTGACCATAACACTTTCTTCAATTGTCCTTACGTGATGTAACAGCAATGACATTTTGACCAATGTGGCACAGTTTTAGTTGTAAAAAATTGAGACTTTGACCTAAGAATACTTTGATGATAGGTGACTGTTCTTTCTTGTCCTTTGATGTAGAGCTATGAAATTTGAACCATGCGGTGGCATAGCATTTTTCTCAAATGCAATCTTGTTTTAAACACAAAATTATTGCTTACCCTTGAATAGTACTCAGCATTGACCTTGGTGTAACGTCTGTCCCGATCTATGACTTCCTTAATTGACGCCGCAGTCAACGATGACTTTCTGCCACGACCCTTGTCGTCTTCAATGTCCCCTCGGCCTTCTCGAAAACGCTTATACCACTTGTAAACGAGTGATCGATAAACAGGAGATCTCACTTTTACAGTCTCCAACATTTCATGCGTCTGTGTTGGCGTCTTCGCAAGATTAACAAACAAACTTGATGATAGTTCGATGTTCCGGTAATCCGTGCAGGTCATTTTTTTGTTAAATATCGCAAGAGCAACGGTTGGTCCAGTTGGTCCGCCTTTGGTAAATCAATTTAAACGGAAACAGCTATTAGCCACGTTCAAAATCTTCAAAACAAACATTTAAAGTTTATTGACGAGTAATTCTCATGTGCATATAGCTTACAAACGTAGCGCCATTATTTATTACGTCATAATATTACACACATAGATAATTTCGAAGTGAAGACAACTTGATTTCAATTAACAAAATTATTGGAGCCATCCCCGCCTGCGCACGAGCGTTACGTATACATATGATAATATAGTGAAGCATTGTTAGAAATTTCCAAAATAAGGACAGTATTTCCCTCATTAAAGATATTGTAGCAATTTGCCTAAAAAAGAAAATGCATAATAAGAAAATTAAATAATAAGTTATAATGGAGGCAAAAGTCACGTAATTTTTGGGACATTATATCACAAATGCACTCCTCGTATGCTCGCGTAGATATAAGAGTTAGATAATAAGTTAACTATAGTCATAGTATCTGTTCTATATTGTAGATTCATGGAGAGGTGGAGACGCTAAATTGGAGGAGATCAGAAAAGAGAATTTAGAACTTAAAGAACTGGAAACAAGGTAAAGTTTTAATATTATTGATAACCCACTTGAATAGGAAGTCAGGAAACTTGTAGAAGAATAAGTGAAAGTATATAATTGTTATTGCCGAAAACCGGCAACATGTATAATTAATGGTAATGTTTTGTAAAATGGTATTGTGTTGCTAAAAATATCTTTGTATCCTTATATAAAAAACAAAACAAAAACAACATGCAAAATACTCAAATTGACAAAATTATGTTTTTGTAAATTTCTGATGAAACAGTTGAAATACTTGGCAACACGGAACAAATAAAATTGGCAGCTAAGGAAACTTGCTATATAAATGCTAAATGCTGTTTTTTTTGTGTGTAATTCTTAATACATTACATACAAGATAACATTTTTTTATTAAAGCTCACCAGATAATATATCTGTAGCCGTAATTTCAAAATGAGAAGTAAGACAGACATTGAAGTTTGATATTACCAATATATAATTCGCCACTTTAATCCTAACATCATTTATTGAATAAAAAAGGAATATTAGACTTCACAATTTTATTTATTTATAGTCTACCCCACCTCGGGGGAGACAGTGATGTATTTTTCTAGCCCTGTCCGTTTAGTCCGGTTAACAATCCGTCAGTCGTCCGTTCCGATCTTAACGCGTCAGTCCAGTAGCCAGTTCACACATAATCTCGTTTCGCGGGACTGATAACATTAGGATGTTCTCTTATTGACCTAGTATCAGCCGACTGACAAACTTCAGAATAACGGATGAAATTGGTCTTATAATTGAGCTGATGATCCTATTGTTTTGGGTCCAGTAAGGTCAAAAGGTCAAGGTCACACCTGACCGGTATTGTGCAAGGTTTCCTTCGTTTCCGTGTATGATAATCTAGAAGTTCCTTTAAGACAGCCTACCACGAGAGCTCATCAAATCTTTCATATGAGGATGAGATTGGTCTTATTGAAGCAGATGTATCCCTATTGTTTTTTTGGGTCAGTAGTTCAAAGGTCAAGTCACGGGAGGTGACCATTGGTCAATTTCTCGTTTCGGTAAATGATAACTAGAAGTATCCTTTTGAGACCTTACACACCCTCAATTACTTCATGTAAGGATGATTGGTCTTATAGAGCTGCAATAGATCCCAATTGTTTTTGAGGGTACAGTAGTTCAAAGGTCAAGGTCACAAGGTTGACTCGCGTATGGTCCAATTTCTCGTTTCTGGATGGATAAACTAGAGTTATACTTTTAGTAGAACACATACAGGACCTCAAAACTTCAATAGGAATGATTTGGTCCTTATTGAGGCAGATGATCCCTATTGTTTTTGGGGTCCAGTAGTTCAAAAGGTCCAAGGTCACAGTGAACCATTGGTCAATTTCTTCGTTTCCGGATGATAACTAGAGTTCCTTTTGACCTACAGCCCTCAAACTTCATAGTGATGATTGGTCTTATAGAGCAGATGATCCCTATTGTTTTTGGGGTCAGTAGTGTCAAGTAGGTCCAAGGTCACAGTGACCCGTTGGTCAATTTCTCGTTATATCCGTTATGGATGATAACTAGAGTTTGATTTTGACCTACCCAGCCCTCAAACTTCATAGGATGATTGGCTTCTTATATGAGCAGATGATCCCTATTGTTTTTGGGGTCAGTAGGTCAATAGGTCAAGGTCACACAGTGCAGTGGGGGAGACATGCGCTTTTATTACAAAGCAAATGCCCATCTAGTATTGTAAATTCGAGTATTTTATTTTAGATTGAAAAGCCATAAATCACATAGATAGGGATAATGACACTTCTTTACAGTCTCGCCGAAAAAGCTTGAGCTGAGTAACATTCACTCCTGTTATACGTAAAATAATTATTTTTATCTCATATATAGTAATGTTTACATAGGGTTATGACGCATGTATGAATGGTAATAAAGCATATTTAAACTCCTGCACAGGAAGGTTTTAAAAGTTAAAATAGGTTACATTCTCTCTTCTTAGGCTGTGTCCTGTAATTAAGCTGTATATAAACCTATACCAGACCAACAACAAACCTCTTCCCTCTTTAAGAAAGCAAATTTGCACAAAAAAACTATTGTGGAATTAAGATTTAGAAAGCAATTAGCACTCATCCAAATTTGTTTAGTAAACCATCTATCTAGCTTCAACAAAATTTGAATTTTTGTTGGGTCAGCATCAAATCTTGCTAACAGTGGCAGTCACTCTGTTCAAACTGCACAAATGTGAAACTCCTTAGTTTTGTTTTTATATAAGACATAAAGACAAGGTTATTTTATTGCAAGCAAATGTTGGCTATATAGTTTTATATTTTTGATATTTCAGAACTTGAGAGAGATAGTACAGTGGTTTGTTTGCCCTGATGGTTAGCAAGTAGTTTCAGTTGATGATTATAACTACATAGTATGTAGTATACTGGTTATTTAACTGTTTACATTATCACCTTTAATTGTTAAGACTTCCATGTTATTAAGGGATAGTGGAGTGCTATTGTTATGACCTATGCTTGTATCAATGTAGTTTGGTCATGAGGTTAATGCCTTTTCTGGTTAAGTTATTCATTTAATTGTCCTGTACTTCACATTAACAAAGCTATGACAGTGAAATTGTATATGCATATGAACCTCTGCCTGTTACTTTTAATTTCAAAAGGTCTTGGCCACTTGGACTTTAAATAAAACCCGACAAAACTGGCCAAAGAATCAAAGTGCATTGACTGATAAACTTCAAAACTTCATATGTAGAGACACCTTGATGAGTCCTACAGGAAATGCTCAATTCCTTGTAAATGCAAAATTGGCGTACAAAACCCTCTGAAAAGTGTTTGAATATAATGTACAGATTTCGGTTTGAACCCTGGGTTTCTGTCTACCACACACATATTTGTGTCAAAAGGTCAAGGTCTGAGGCCGAGTGGGTTTGAATCCCTACAGAGACTTTGGATTCTCTAATGTGAGGAAGCTATCCCGCTGGCTTACAGAATGGTTCTACTTAAGAGAAATAATGCATGCAAGGGCACCTGAGGTCTTCCTGAACCATAAAGCTTGAAAGTCACCATATGATCTTTTCGTTGATATGTTTTAGAACCCAGCCCAAAAAAAGAAATAAAAAGAAAGGATAAAGAGTTTATTTGAATGATTTCCTTTTGTATGTTTTCAGAGTATAAAGGCCATGAAGGAAGAAAATACAAAATTGCTTAAAGAGACAACAGCGCTTTGTCGGAGACATCAGCATCAATAAACAGATATAGCATTCAAACATTTCATGAAATTGTAAAATGAGTGTAAAACTTAAAAATCTGTAAGAAGTGTTAAGATTCTTAGTAGATTATTATTAAAGGATTATTAAGATAATTTTAGTGACATCAACTCGACACTCTAAACCTGTGAGGAATTTTGTAATAAACTGAATAGGAATGATCTTGAGTGTTGCTTGTACAAAAAAAGACAAACATGTAATTGTGCTTATAGTGCTGTCTCGGGGAATAGTTGAGCAGGCCATCTTAGGGAATAGGTGAACATGCTGCTTCTGTGAAAAGTCAAGATTGCTGTTTCTTGGAATACTAGTAGTTCAGCACATTGTGTCTAGGAAAACTAGTAGTTCTGAAAATATTTGAGCATGCTGTCTGTGGTCTGTTTGATTAAACTCTCTTCTCATTGTTAATGCTGTTTATTTTGAAAAAGCCGTTACAAACTGTCTGCCTTAGATCTTGAATTTTCTCAAGTTAGGAAGCTAATTTCACAAAAACAAAGACATATTTAGTGTGAGAAAAAAATCTATATCCTATATTTTTATGCAGAATCATGAATGAAAATGTAAAACTTTGTACATATAATTGTTATTTTTGCAGGACAATGAATGTCTGAGGTTAAAAGTGAGGCATTTAGAGCATAAACTGTCCGAGGGTAAACCTCCTCATGAGGCATTACGTCTACAGAAGGAAAATATTGTACCTCATCATAAAGACTTCCTGTCCGGAGAATATACCCAAAGATCTCCGCAATATAATACACTCCAAAACAGAGAACCGAAGAAATAGTGATAAACTATATTCTAAGATGAGGAAGGGAACAGAAGAAATAGAGATATACAAAGTTATATTAGAAAATGTGGAATAATTGTAAGAGATATACAATGTTATATTATAAGATGTGAAAGAATTGCAAGATGAAGATTGATGTAATGCAAGTTTATGGGTGTTTTGTGACATACTGATGTTTTGTGAGTCTGGGTGCAACGATTCACTGAAGTTCGGATATATCCAAATGTACTGCTTCAGATAAATTTTCTGATTTGGATTTCCATTTTTTCTATGAATTGTTGCATCTTTGTGAGATGTGGACATTTATTGTGACATACAGATGTATTTTGAGGTGAAACTGTTTTGTTGGAAGTAGGCATATTTTGACCTACAGATGTTTTGCGAGATGTTGTTCTGTTGTGACATACAGATGTATAATTGTGAAATGTGGATGTTTTGTGACCTACAGATGTATTGTGAGATGTTGTTCTGTTGTGACATACATATGTATAATTGTAAAATGTGGATGTTTTGTGACCTACAGATATATTGCGAGATGTTGTCCTGTTGTGACATACAGATGAATAATTGTGAAATGTGGATGTTTTGTGACCTACAGATGTATTATGAGATTTTGACATTTTGTGACATACAGATGTATTGTAAGATGTTGACATTTTGTGACATATAGATGTTTTGTTAGATGTTGACATTTTGTGACATACAGATGTATTGTGAGATTTTGACATTTTGTGACATACAGATGTATTGTGAGATGTCAACATTTTGTGACATACAGCTGTATTGTGAGATTTTGACATTTTGTGACATACAGATGTATTGTGAGATGTTGACATTTGTGACATACAGATGTATTGTGAGATGTTGACATTTTGTGACATATAGATGTTTTGTGACCTACAGATATATTGCGAGATGTTGTCCTGTTGTGACATACAGATGAATAATTGTGAAATGTGGATGTTTTGTGACCTACAGATGTATTATGAGATTTTGACATTTTGTGACATACAGATGTATTGTAAGAAGTTGACATTTTGTGACATATAGATGTTTTGTTAGATGTTGACATTTTTTGACATACAGATGTATTGTGAGATTTTGACATTTTGTGACATACAGATGTATTGTGAGATGTTGACATTTTCTGACATACAGATGTATTGTGAGATGTTGACATTTTCTGACATACAGATGTACTGTGAGTGGTGGATGTGTACTTTAGGAAGTTTGCAATGATATTTTGACTATTTGTTTAAGAATTTACACTAGACGTTTTTTTTATTGATTTTACTTATATATGAATATAAATTTGTATATGTTTTTGTTTACTTTTGGTAACATACAGTTCTTCTTTATCCTTATTTCTAGTGTCTATCGCTCTTTCTTTCTTCTTACTAGAATGTATTTAGTCAGATGTGGTATCTTTGTTTATTCTTTGTAAATTTTGACCATTTTATTGTAACATGTATATATGGGTATTTCAGAAAGGTTTGATAGCCTTGACATCTTTTCCTTAGTGTCTAGCCATAACCTTATGATATGGCCATGTAGTGCTAATTTGACATAATTCACCACATTTTAGGCTTGTCTGTCTCGAAGAAAAAGCCAAGATATTATGATCGCTGCATCGTCATTGTTGTTGTTGTCGTTGTACAAAAACCTTTAATATAGCCCATTATTCTAACATTAAAAAAGGCATTGTCAATTAACAGTGAATACTTGCATAAAATGACAAGGACAGTTTTGATTCAGTTCTAGGACAAGGAGTATAATTCTGAAAGCTAAGTTATGTCCCTTTTTTCCTTAGAAGTTTTGTTAAAATTGCTGATTTAGTAGAATGATTTCAAAACTATGAAATGTATCAACATAAATTGTGGAGTACTTGATTATCATGACATTGCAGAATTGTTTGACAAAGGCAATGTCCTGAAAGCAATATTTTTAGGAGTTATGTCCATTTTATTTTAATTGGTTATAGGCGTTGCCCTAAACAGATGAGCGTTACAATCACATGCAGTCTTCTTGTTGTTAGATTTATATATTCTTTTGTGCATATAATCGTAATGATCTCTTTGTAATCATTATTTCTAAATACAATATTTATGTGCACATTTATTTTTGTCTTGTTTTCTAGATCACTTCATTTTAAGATCACTTTAAGTAAGTAGTTTCTCATACCATTACATTTTCTTGTCCTTTGGGATCATTAATTGTCCCCTACCTTTTCGAAGAAAATAGTTGGATATAAAAATAGGCTCCGTCCGTCACACTTTTTTTGTCTGGTCCATAACTTTGTCATTTATCAAAGGAATTTGAAATAACTTGGCACAAATGTTTGTTACAATAAGATGATGTGTCATGTGCAACAGCCAGACCCTTACCTCCAGGGTCAAGGTCGCACTTGCTCATTCAACATTTTTTTGAGGGTATATGTAATGTCCGATCCATAACTTTCTTATCTTTGAATAGATTTTGTAAATACATGCCACAATTGTTTACAATAATGAGACAATGTGTCATGCGCAACAACCAGTCACCTACCTCCAGGTCAAGGTCACACTTTATAGAGGTCAAAAATAAACATTTTCTGTTATAGGGTATATTTGTGTCTGATCTAGAACTTTTCATAGTTCAAGGAATTTTGAAATAACCTGGCACAAATAGTCACAATTATAAGAAGATATGTCAAGTACAACACCTGCACCCCTACCTCCAAGGTCAAGGTCACACTTAGAGGTAAAACCTTAACATGATAGATTTTTAAATTCCTTGTGTCATTGTATTTCTTTAATAAATTTGTTGTTGCATTTGCAGATCTAGCATTGATCATAATTTTGGACTTAAAGTCCTGAGATCTATACCTCAATCTTTTGAAATAGCAAAATTCTATGCTTCATATAAAACTTCCCTGAGGCGGGGGACGTTGGTAACTCTGTTACAAATTCTTGTTCCAATAGTTTTAGTATTTAGGGTTGAATTCCAATAAAAACAGCAGGAGGGATGTGAATGATGTAATACTCTCGAAATATCTCCCCTGTGCCAGATTTTAATGACACAGATTATTCCATTCCTCGTTATTTTTATAATATTGCACACTTTCAGTAGCTCAATAGTAAGAGCAGCAGATTTGTAATCCAAGAGTTGCTGGTTTGATCCTCTGGTCAGGCGAAATTTCTCTATAACAACTGGGTCCGAGGTTATAAAGAAATTCTCATAGCTCAAACTCAGATCTTTGGCATTTGATTAGTCAGAAATTGCCACACAATGAACACTGAGTCTGACCAATTAAAATCCTAAGATTTGAGACATAACTTAGTAAAACGTTGTATAACCTTGAGGCATGGTCTTAAACATTGAGTCTAACGGCCATAGTTGCATCTTGAATATGTTGCAATTCTTAATGCTAGATTTATTCTGGAGAGCGATGCAATGCAACCATGGCTCTCTTGTTTCAGTTTTTTTACATCAAAATGTAAGACAACAGGTGATGATGGATATACATTGTATATTCCAAAAAGTAGAATTTTCATGATAAAAATGATGTAAAAATGATATGGTTAAATTGTAGACTCCATTAGTAATAGGTCAATGGTGGGATAAAATGAAACACTTCTTGAGAACTGACTGAGCCACATAAGTGTTGAATAAACACCTTTTATGTCCGCTATTCGTGTTAACTTATCTAATAAAATGCATGTCTTCTTACCATAAAAATCTAGCTTGTTGCCTACCTATAGTCATAAATGATTGCCTTAATAGCATACTTGTATTCGCAATAAAAAAGAAACCACTTTAACTAATCACGTTTGATAAACAACATTAATCCCAAGAAACTCTTTTAATGTCGGAACGTTAAATCACAAACACTTCCTCTTACACAACTAACATTTCAAGAACTTTTGTTCAACCATCCAGGTAACGACTTAGAAAGACCAATTCCCTTTTATCTGAACTTAGAAACAAGATAAAATGTCTTAACAGCTATTATCATAGAATTACAAAACATTAGCTGACATCAATGTACGCTTCCATTGGCTTATTAAGAAAATATTTAAGTTGTAAATTCTTTTGGGAGAGCATGTTGTTACAACAGAAAAAGAAAGGTAAGCAGAAATACCTACTAAGTGCTCGATAGTATAAACTTTGATTATATGAGTGATTATTTAAAAATGCAAGTACCTATTAGCGTTGCCTAGATCACGCTTTATTTTCACAAACTGCCGTATTTTAACATAATTTTGGTATGTGTCTCTCTTCTTGATTTTATGTCATTTTATACATTGCCGTTCAACACTTATGCTACTGTTATGTTACTGTTATGATAATGTACTGTTAAAGATGCTGATATACTTAAAGAACAATAAAATATATTAAAATAAGTTATAAAAAAATCAAATCGGGATTGCGGTAGGTATTGCATTACGAGATTGAGGTTCCTTGATACAATTTTGTAGACTACACATAAAAGAGAACGGAAATTATAATTATCAAAGTTTTTTTTTATCTATGTGATAATATTCCACTTCTCTTACTCTTTTGTATCTACCGAGGATTGAATTATATTTTGAATTGGTTTTGTAATTGTATTCAAGAATATCATAATATATTGACTTTTATAGCAGTAAATCTTGTTTGAAATTGCTTTGTCTCATATAAGGAGACATTTGCAATTTTAAACGCATTCAACTCTGCTCTTGATATTAAAAACATAATAATAGTATTATTTATGACATTAACATTCATCACTTTATAGAATTCAATGAAATTTCTGTTATTTTCTGGCACATTCTCTCACTCGTATGCAAGGATTATTGCTTTTATATGGTCAAATTCTTTAAGTCTGTTAAAACCAATATAGGGACTTTCAGAAGAGAAAACATTATGAATTTGATATGCTTTAAACGTTCCTATTGATTTTCATTATTAGAAATTTGCTTTAAATCCATAGCAATAGCGTGTAGCTCATTTGTAGAAAAAATATCAATGAATTTTTA